ATCTTCAACAAACACATTTCTTTGCATGACATAGACTGACTGAATTTCAGACAAGAACAAAGCACCCTGCATAAAAAAATACTCCTTTCATCATTTTAATATGATAGTATCTGCAATCAAAGCTTTTCAACAATTTCTCAACTCTTCAAACATCACTGTATTCCACCTCCTTTCTATATCTCTCCCATTTACTTTACTCCCAATCCCTAGTGTTTGAATCCTTGTGTTTTTCTCACATTTTGGGCTCCAATTTAATAGGTCTCTGGAGTTGTACTGTACATACAGTAGCAAGAAGGTATTCAACTAATGCACTATAACTTAACCTTTGATCTAATCATGGCTTGGAGACGGAAAACAAAATCATACCTACTGAGCCTGGATGATATTTGTAAAACAAAATTAAATGCAATAGATCGGGTGGAATGAATGGATGGATGGAAATAGCCCTTTGCAAAATGTAGTTTTCTTAGTAGTAATGTCTTGAATGAAATGCTGAAGAGTTAAAAAGATAAAAATGTAAAATTTAAGGTTCTGTCTTCTGTCTTTGTTAGCTTTTGGGCGGGGGGAATGGAGGAACTGAAGCCCATCAGCTGAACTTCAGTTGAATGTGTAGCATGCAGAGTCAGAAGTGCATTTCAACACTGCTTCCCTTGGGGTTTTACTGAATGCCAGCATGAGTTCATAGCCTTAACCCAGACCAGCTGTGAATGACCTGCTTCTGCTTTTTACAGTCTGTTGTGCTTCTTCACTGGAAATATTAATAAAATATGGTATAGAAAAAAAAGTTTTAAAAATTATTGATATTTTTTCCTTTCTTCAAGGAAAAATGCATCCAAGAAAAAATCTAATATAACACAATAGAAATTCCTAGCTTTGTTGCTCCTGGATTTTACATGATTACTCCTCTCTTTTTCTTGTATAGTTCCTGTGTACCCAATTAAGTCAATATTTTAACCTCTAATAAGCGTGACCATAATAACTTTAAACCTTTTAACAACTAAGCACTCATTAGAATTGAGCAGGATGTCCTACTAGGCATACATATTATTGACTATATCATCTTTATCATTCCTTCTTTGACTAATTTGTCTGCAGATTACTCAGAAGAGGAGGGTCTTCAAACACCGTTATTAACTATTTTTAGAGAAATTGACATCACTGGCAAATTTAACCTTCTAAACCAGCTATCCTGAACAACTGTAGCTATTAACAGTGCCTTGCAAAAGTATTCTGATCCTTGCATTATTTATTGGCTTTAAAGCTTGCAGCCCTGACAATTTGAAGTAGCAATTAATATTTGCTATATACTACTCCACACATTTAAAACAAAGACAACAAAAAAAAAGAAGACAACGGTTTAAGGATAAGAATCCAAATGTACTTGAGTGGAGTCAGTCTTGACTTGAATCTTACTGCAAGTCTATGAAGACTTGAAAACTGCTGTCTGTGCAGGATCCCCAAGCAAGTTGAGCAACTCTGTTGAGTAATAAATTGCACTAAACCTGCATACAGTTGATAAGCTGGTAGAGAATTACCCCCCCAAAAACTAACTGCTAGAATTGCTACCAAGAGTTCTTTCACCAAATAGTGGATTCATTGGACTATATACTTACACAATTTTCATATTTCATTTTTTTCTCTTCTGTTTTTGTTATCATTTACTGTAACTGATCTTATCACTAGAAGCCTTCAGCTTGACCATTCTGGTTTAAAATTCCGGTTATAAAATATGAAGTTTACAAAATGTGTATGTATTTTGTTGTAATTTAATAGGAAGGCCCTGAATACTTCTGCAAGGCAAAGTAACACTGCGTTTTTAAAGAAACACCACAACTATCTTTCAAAATAGACAGTTCATTATAGTATATTCATGCGTTTCTATCATTCTTAATAATTCCCTAAGATGATTACAAAAATGGCCCAAGTGTCCTGAAATAACTACAAATGAAAAAAAAAGTAAATGGTTTTAATACCCCTTTTTGCTTTCTAGTCTTTAATTCTGATAGCTGTGGAGACTAGGCTTGTCCTTTAACAAAAAGCATCTTTCAACCAGGAATAATGGTAACACGTTAAATAAAACATTTTCTTAATGCACGTGTCCTTTCCACCTTTGAACATACAACATATTATAAAATATATATTAATTGATATTAAATATCTAAACAGGAAATGTCACAGCTGTAAATGTTTTTGTATGACTCGTTCAGCCCTTTTGCCCCATTTTAAGTTTGATGCATTAAAGTTTTTCAAGACATATGAGCCTACTAATACTGTTCTTATACCAGATTCACTTGCTGAAGTTGTATGTTTATAAAACAGGCTACAAATGACTTTGATAGCTACTTATTTCAATAGCTGTTAGTCTTTTCTGACAATTGCCTAATTGGAAAAAACATATATTGTCAGATATAATCAAATGTAATGATTTATTTTAATAATTTCTGTTATACCTTTTTTCACAGTTCAGAGATTTTTTCATGATTTTCTCAATAAAATGTAAGATGGTTTGTAGAGTATACTACCACTATTTTAGATTTTAGTAAGTTTAGTTGTAGGGGTAGTGTCTCATTGTTTTTTAAAATTACAATTGTAAATTCAAGGGCATCAAAAATAAAAACATTTTAAGATATATATATATACATCTGCAATAACAAAAACTCAATAAGACATTACTTTACATATACTCCATACCCAATTAAGCGGATTAAAAATAAATAGCACTGAAATATCTGTAAATCTCTGCTCTTAAAATCATGTTTTTAATGCTGTATATCTTACAGTTAAAGGTAAAAAAAATAAACAGAAGCTAAATAAAATAAAAACAAAAGTAAAATGAAATAAAGTAACTGTACAGGTCAGTCAAGTTATAAATAATCATGTGACAATGAACAACATACTGTAGGTGCAAAACTTCAATTACTTAATTGCATGAATAACCCTTCCAACACTGCCAGAACTAACATCTTAATGTGTCCTCATATGGAGTATAAAAATAATACTCTTCTCAATTTCCTTTTTTAGATTTTGATTCAGTACATAATTCTGAGCTGAAAACCCCTCCACTCACAAAACTGTCATCAGAAAAGAGCTATTCTGAAAATAATTTGATGTGATATACTGTAATATTACTTCATAATTAAAGGAGGATGTTTCTACATCTCATAAAAAGCCTAAACCACTCGATTCAAAAGAACAGATTCTGTTGAAGGAAAAATAAAATGGAACAGGAATGTTTTGTATTGATTGATGCACAACAGAGTTGTAAACTCCGGTCTACTTTTAGTGTACACTGGAGAATTGAATGCCATGTTGTGTCTATTGAGTGTATAACCTCCATATTGTACTTCAGTGGAGAATTCTGTTAAAGGTGGAGCAAGTTGTCCAGATACAGATTACGAGCAGGGACAAACCAGTCCGACAACATTGGCTAACATTACGGACAGACACATAGACACACAGGTAGGTATATACATACAGTTACATACAAAGACATCATCACTGTGGCTTTTAGAAAGAAAAGTACCTTTCAGACACACATTTTAAATAACATATATATGTATAGTTGTTTTATTACAGGAAATGAAAAAAGACGACAACTTTTTAACTTTTTTTTTCTTTTCAGGTTCTGACCCTTTTTTCTGTTTTAAGTATTGCAGTCTAAACAATATGGCTTTAACTATTTGAAAAACGTTCCACAGAGCAAAGAACTGAAATTACATTTTTAAAATAGTTTTCTTTTTCTAGGTTTCCACACAATTGTCATTGTATTCCTCCATCAGGAGAAATAAAAGAGGTTATCCTATAAGGAAAAGAAAGCTCAGTGTTGGGTCTAGGCATGAGATGTTTAACCCAACCACACAGATGAAGTCACATTCTCTTGCTTTCAGACATTAAGATTGCACTTTAACACGTTTATACGTTAGATTATTTGTATGTTTTCTTTTTTTTTTACACTGTGATTAACCTTACATGCTAAAAACTAGTTTTGAGTGTTTTTGGAATCTATTTCAAAGCTCAGAACATTTATACAGCAGATAAATCACTTCATTGTCTACAACAGCTTCTTAATTTCATTTTAAGTTTGTTTTTGACTTCATCTAATGCATGATACTTGGCAGACTGTTGTGCCTCTACCCCAAAGTCCCATTTTAAAACACCAGACCACTGTCCTCAAAAACACCTAAATCTTCTTTCAAAATGGTGCATGAAATAACCCAGAAATAGTTATCTCAAATATATTCTTTCAATATTCTTCAATCGGACAGTTCTAGTACTCAGCGTTGCAATTCAGAAATATTTATCTTACCCTTCCATTGCTTGAACACTGGTGATTAATTGAACATAAATCTAAGATTCAGTATGTAGACAAGATAAGGTGCAAGCTGAATTATTATTTAAATTTTCATTTTTTACATTGCACCTAAAATGAAAATAGATATGTCAGTAAATGCAAATTTGTGAATTCATGCCTACGTGTTCTAAATGCCATTTAGAACACTGGTGATTGGGACGTTTTTAAATGAATGTAAAAAATGAAGGAGAAATATTTCTACAAATCATAAGAAATAAACACATATTAAGTCAAATCTATGTGTGCCTAACAAGGAACTAATTTCATTCAGTTTCTCTACTAATAATTCAAATTCTCCCTTGCTTGACAGTCTTTTAAACTTGTTAGTTCAGAACATTCAACAATAATTTTAACGTTTGCAACACAGATCACATGTAATGCCCACTAAGCAAGGATCATCACGATGCATCAGGTTTTTCTTCTACATCTGAATGTTGTTTAATTTCATTAAGATATGCTTCATGTAGTATAACATTTAGTTTTCTCTTTTGTAATACAGTTACTGCTCAAACTAGTTGCCATAGCAACATAAAGTCCAAACCTCCTCACACATCTCTGTCTTATAAAGGCATCTTTCTATAGCCCCTAACTCTGAGCTTTCCAGAGTGTCTGTTCTTGTTAGAAAACACAACAAAGCACTACCTTTGGATAACCTTCACCCCATTTATTTCACACTAAACATCTCACTGATATAGTACACTGCACGTCTGGATATACTTCAAAATGCTGGTACATTAACACTTTGAAGCAACACTGTAATTTAAAGTGTTGTCATGTGAAATACATTTGTGCCAAACTTCCTGTATTCTGAAGATCAGCTACGTGAACGAGAGTAAATGCATTTGTTGTTACTGTAAAAGGCCTCGACTGTAGTTTAAAAGATGATACAATCTATTGTATTGAACAATATGACTATGGAACAGTTAAAATACCAGTATCCTGAAGTACATTCTGCAGCCTTCTGTCTTGTGGGAAATTGGATCCCATAAAATAAGCAAATTACTATACAAGCAACTCTCTTGCATAGTTTAATTATTTTTTTATACCGAGAACCATTACCTGAGATTTTTAAACAGTGTCCTAGAACTATAACTTTATGTTCTGTGTAAATCAACAAAACCATGCAAATTAATGGTTAATTTGTTGAGAATGACAAAACTTATCTCAAAAGGGGGCTGGAAGGAGGGTAGGGGGGATCCTTCTTTGGTCTTGGTGTTAACAGATTCAAACAGGCCACTTCCATAGCACTCTTTATCATTGCATTGTTAATAAATAGGTTGAAGGAAACCAACATCTGATAGAATAAGGCGTGACTTCTGCTAACACACTGTTCATTCTGTATACTGTGGCAAGGGTGAATAAAACATTGCAGAACTTTTTAGCATAAATTCGCATTTGCATTAACAACATTTATTGGACATGCTTTTTTTGCAGAGTTATTGATTGTGCAAAATTAATATAACAGGCTTTTGCCAAATATCATCAACTGCAATTGACATAACTTCAAAGATAATTGCCTTTTATAGTTGAATAGCTCCAAATGAGTTTACTCTCCTTGTCTTAGTTGCCTACAGGTTGAAGTTGAAAATATTTACCCACTTTAAACATAAGAGCCAACAACAGCTGATAATTTCTATTATGGTAGCTTTTTTGTGTATATTGTGTATATGCTCATTTTTCAAATGTTTTGCACACTTTAGATAGAAATTCAGTTTGAGAAATGAGGGTGCTAACTAGTATCTGAAAAGTCCTTGTGAAAAAATGTTAAAAATATTGTAATAGTTTTTTTTTATTCTTGTGATAACAGGAATTAGTTTCTTTGTTATTTTATCAACATACTGTACGTAGTGCACACATTCAGTCAGAGGTGGTTCCTTTCCTTTGCGGAACCCTCACTAAAATATCAAAATTTACTTTGAAGGAAGTTGAAAATCTGCCCTAGAAGCAAAGGCAAAACTCTGGCAGCAGTCTGAAGACAAAATAGTGGGTTAGAAGACAGCCTGTCTGCAAAATAAATCTATATATACCAAAATCCAAATATATAGATATAAAAAATACAACTTACAAAGTTATCAGATCCATTTTTAAGTAGGTCAAATTTTCACTTTAAAGGTAAATAACTGCGTGTAAACATTCACATAGAAGGATTATGATGGTAAAGGTTGTAAACATTTCTATGGCAACTATAATTACAAAAATGGAAGTTACTCTTATCCTGTGGTAGACATCTCACATCTTACATCTGATCCTTATGCACAAATGATTGGTCCCTGTTTAAGCCAACAAGACAATGCTTCCATTTTGTTGGTGCCTTAGGTTGCACACAGAGAGTTTCATGAAAAGATTGCTAAAAGTCACATTGCAAAGCCTTTTCAACTTTTGGCAGTCATTACGTTTCGTGTTATCTAACCTTTATATATCCAGTTTGCTTAGCAAAACCAATCTGTATGTCAAATGAAAAAAAAAGAGAAAGGAAAGTGCATAAGGGACCCTGTAGAAAGGCGATTGGAGCTAAATTTTAGCTATAAAATAAAGAAGAAATTTGTTTTTGTTTGTGTTTTCTTTTAAAAATCTCAGTCCCAATGACTTAGAAAGATGTGATTTCTAGGTTCTGGTAGCATCCCACTCATTAGCAGTAATAAACTTTCTAGAATCATTAATAATAGGCAAAATCATAACAAAAGTAATATACATCATATAGGACACATATATAAGCAACATGGCAACTTAAATGCAAAATGACATCATATATCGGCTACGTCCACTTCCATGCAGTGGTTGTGTTTGATTGTCTTTGGAATAGTCCTAAACTCTGGCAACTTGCCAGCTAGATGAAGGTCAGATTCAGGGTATACTGCAAAACCATTACAGACTTTGTCACCTACAGTACCCTTTAAAGCATCAATATTTATGCCCTTATGTACTTCACTGCTGTCTAAGTAATTATATTTTGTAACTCATCATCAGCGCCATTTAAGTATTTTTCTCCATTTATGACACACAGATGCTAGAATGTCTTTGTGAAGTTTCATAAAAATAAAAAAAACACCTTTTAAAAGGAAACTTCAGAGATCACTGAAACTCATGCACATAAAATTGGCCTTGCTATCTTCATATTTTTATAAATCCTAAGGGAAATTAAATATAAACCAAGCCAGAAAGAAATTATTCAGCTACTTCATTTTATGTGTCAATCATAGAGTCATACATGGAGACACTAACTCTGCTTTACATAAGACTAACATATATACAGTATATACTGTATATAGTAAACAAAATGCAAAATGCTTTTCATGGAGATATCTCTCTATAGGTAACAAGTCCATTTTTAACCTTGGCTTAACTTTTAAAAATCTAAATACAAAATAATGAATTTGCAGTATGCATTGAAGTTTGAATATCTTTCCACTATTGACTGGCTTTAGACCAAGTTAATATATTAACTTGCAATACATGAAAGCCATTGGAAAGACAGACAGCAGAAGACCTCCACCTAAAATATTAACAGATCGGAAACAGAGTACAGGAAAGTTTGACAAAAGATAAAAGTCTGGATTTAATGTATTTGGTATGGCAGTAGCTGCTGCTGTTCAAAACATTAATATAGATCCCAAGGTATGCACTGTGCATGCCATATTTATCTTAGTTTATATAAAAATAAAGTAAAAAATGAAACAGGATTAGGGGGCTGACTGAATTCATTTAGCTTTTCACAACTAAGCACTGAGGCAGAAATAAAAAGGAAACCTAGTGGCAGTAGCCGATTCATGATCACAGCTGAATGCTTACTTAGGCTGTTTTAAGGCAACTTAAAAGAAAAAAAAAGAAAAGTAAGCAATTGAACAAAACACATCATGTTGAAGACGGAGAAAACAATCGCGAGGTTTTTAAGAATTGAGGTTGTATAGATGGAACTCACAGGACAGTGAAGATTGCTTCATCTTGCCTTCTGAGTCCCATTTTACCATCAACAGTTGCCTCTTCAGCATGGCTTGTGATAAGGAGAAGCACAAAACTGTCTGATGTGTTACACTTACTTAAGAAACCTATTGCAATAGTTAACAGCCTACTGAAGGATCTCAGAATGAATCCATGTCATGGAAAACTACCTTTTGAGTCATCTTTAAGTGAAATGGTAACTGATTTATCCGATTTGTTTTTGTGTGTCACAGTAGTAACTTGCCCCACTTTATACATTTTATTATACAATGAAATAAATTCTGTATTTGACAAACACAGTTTAGCAGCTCCAAAAACAAAAATTAGACTCCAGTTATACCCCAATGGGAGCAATCTTGTTTCCCATGCAAAGAAAGACAAATGTATAAATCATCTCGCCACAAACACCTCTGTGCAAGAAAATGCACAAAGGCATATGCTAAATTAAACCACGTTTTGTAAAAGGTACCAAATCCATGTCCTATTTTCTTAAGCAGCCTGTTTTGCGTAGTTGGAATACATTACAAAATAACAATAAATATATGACTTTCTGTAATGAAGAGCTTAATGCAGTTAATACAGCATGTAAATTTTTAAACAAAGTCTCAAACATATTTTCAAAATGGATGTTATGCTTGCCTTACCTGTTTAGGGTGTGCATTAATCTTTCATACAGAAAGCCTGTTAATTTTTTATCAGTGGACAACATCTAAAAAACACCCCAACCAATTAATGTTTCATTAAAAAACAAAAATACGTCTTATCGAGCGAGAGACAGGAATTCTGAGATCCTTGGTAGTGTCACTAGTTACAATTAAGAAAATGAAACAAGAAAAAGACAAATAGATCAGTTCTTTTGATTGGCTGTTCAGATTTGCCCGCTGACTGTCGTGCGAACAGATTGTTTGAGGATGATTTTTACTATTACACTAATTTTAAAAACGGCGCTGTGGATGACCCAGTTAGGCAATCTCACCCAATCCCCTTCTCCCGCCAGCCCCATTCACCTCTCCTGCCCCTCGTGTCCGTTACTTCTTGAACATGTCTTGCAGGGGTCCCGGCAGGAATTTGAGCACAGTGTCCAGGATGCTTTCCTCCTCTTCCTCGTCGTCGTCTCCGCAGCCGGCAGGAATGGCTTTCTTGGGGCGCGTCAAGGACCCCTCGCAGGGCTGCTCCATCGCTGCCTTTTCTTCCGCCTCCTTCTCCTCCTTCTTCTTCAGGCCGTACTGTGGGCAGACAAAGCAGAGCTGCCACAGTGGAACAGGGCAACAGAGCTCCTCTCTCTGAATTGCACTGTTAACGATCGCCGCGATAGCTCAATACAAATCTTAGGTAAGAGATAATCTTCTGATAAATCAAGAGATAAGAGGGCAGCATCAAATAAATAGCGAGGGTCAGATTATTTCCCTAGCTTTGATTTTACAATCTGTGATGATCCTTTGCCCTTTGATGATATCGTGTTCCTCCTTATACTGTAATTGCATATTGACAGTGTATAGATGCATGACATTTGGCTGTGTGTGAATTTTATGAAATAGCTTAGAAAAATTACAACCTGTAATTCATTCTATTTAACCTGATATTTCACTTTTGCTACATGGACCAGGCCACTACTTGCACTCTAAGAAGTAACTTTATTTTTCAGTTTCTTAAACATCGTTCAGTTGCATGCTCATGTTTTCATCTTGTTTTTAATACTTTGCTGCCTACACAAAAATGCTGTATCTATACACACACACAAAAATATACTCTTGATCTCATTTGCTATTGCCTGGTCTAAGGTCTGACAGGATATTATAGTGGTCCCTTATTGCTATGCTGACTTTCGATAAGCAACATCCCTTGATATATACAAACAGCACAATCTTCATATCCATCTTTAATAATTTGCTGATATTTTCATTAAAAAATCAAATGCTTTCTTTTAGGTTTGAAAGAGATGAGCTGAAATCACATTAAGCAAATTTATGGAGTACACATAATTATTTTATTATGCAAACTAATTAAACTTTTCTGCCTTATGATTATGATAGAAGAGGGGTTGCTTTTAATACCTGTTTGTGTTGTGGGACTTTGTATTTTGCGGGTGCTTTAATCTTGGATCTGAGATTAAATAATTCACTCCATGATAAAAAAGCAAAGTGTATTGTCTGTGTAATAGTGCGACAAAGGTCTGAATAGTTGACAAGGTCTGAATTCTGAAACAAAAAATTAAAAAAAAATACTTAATGTTATTGTATGAACACAATAGTAAAGTGGAAAAAAAAACATTTTTCAATTAGGGAGCTTTAACATAAGTGCAGTATTAAAAGAATTGTATCCCCTCTTCTATCATAATCATAAGGCAGAAAAGTTTAATTAGTTTGCATAATAAAATAATTATGTGTGCTCCATAAATTTGCTTAATGTGATTTCAGCTCATCTCTTTCTTCAACTATGCCTTGGCTGTCATGTTCAGGTTCACTGATTTCATTATTTTTCTTTTTACATTAAAGCTGTCTGCGGCAGCGTGATTGGAAACCGTTGGCAAATGTATTAGACAGTGTCTCGTCAAGTAAATAAGTGTGTGGTCAATGACAATGTGCAATGGCCAATTATTTTACCAACCAACTGGGAATGAGCAGTTTTTAATCAACTCAGGTTTGCCACTGCGCCTTTTGTGCCAGTGCAGGTGATATGAGGCCTATGTATTACTTTCCTATGAAATATGCACTGTCAGAATAATCTGCCATTTTTCACACTGAGAGCTCCATAGTGCCCATCGCAGGTTTAGTGTTGATTTCAAGAGTCCTGACAGCACTGTGAGCTTGCAGTAAGATGGAGATGGCTGAGTGAAGTCCACCCAATCTCGAAGACACTCAGTTAATTGTCCACAGAAAGATGGGAGATCCTGCCCCATCTAGTACAGCTAAACTAATGATACAAACCAGTCTCAAATTGACAATTGTCTGAGCACCACTATAGCACTCAAACTGCACTTGGAGTGAGAAAAGATTTCTTAATGGGGACGAATGTGTTGCGTGTGAATTACTATCACCAGTCATACAGAAATCCTTACTGACATTTTTTTTCTTCCTCTTACATTGATAACGCTAGACAGTAATTATGCTTTTGTGTTTTTTTTTACTTCTCTTGTCTGAACAGCTGAAGCAGACTGCAAATTAAAAACATGCTTTGTTTGAATTAATTATATGTTGCGTACATGCTGGAGACTGGAATGAGTTCCATTAAAAACAACTTCTATTCAGTTTTAACTTGTAACTATTTTAAAGTTGGTTAATCTTGGTATTTACACTATATTCAACTTTTTATTTGATTAGCTTTCTAAAGAGTGAAGCAAATGAATGCCTGTTGAAGATTGAAGTGCATACACAAAAGAAACATAGGGATACATTTACAGATTGATTGCTGTTATATTTTTTTTATTTTAAATATAATTTATATTTTCCATAAAATCATAATAACATGCTTATTATGCAATTCATTATTTGTTTTTCCCTTAAAAGGTATAGTTTTACTTCAGCCTTTTTAGATACCTGACCCCTTTTTAAAAGCAGAATGACCCTTTTAGATTAATTTATTCAATAAAAGGGTTCATAAATGCTTATTGTTGTTATAAAACAAAATGGTGCTGCACTGGGCAGCTATAACTTGTAGGAACTAGGCCCTTGGCAATGATGCAACCATGCAACGGTAAAAAATAAAACTAATGGGGTTAAAAAGGAACTAGACATTGAACTGCTGAAAATCTGGCAACTGTGAAGCAAGAGGAGCAATAGTGGTTGAACACTGACTACCTTGTCTTTTTGACACCAGACAAATATGTGAAGGATCTGTAGGTGATAAGACACCAATGTGCAAGTAAAGAATATCGAGATTTCAGAAGACTATATGTTAAAAAAATTGAAGCATTTGAAGAATGCATTATTCCTTTGAGCATGTTTGAGAAACTTTAAGAACAGCTATAATTATTTATAATAATAACAATAACAACAACAACACTATAATTAATATTAATAAGAATATTTAATAGCAAAATAATCTAAAAAACTCAATTATTGATATAGTTTATATTGTTTAGAATTAATAATAGTAACAGTTAAAGTGCTCTTCTAAAAAAGAAAAATAAGACATTTAGTTTTTGTTCTACAGGCCTTTTTATAGAAAAAATGTATATATTGTCCATAAAACATAAGGATTAAACAATCTAAAAATAACATTATAGTATTAAAACGTATTTAAAAATATAAAAGTATTCCATCTATTTGTTATTTTTAGTATAATATTTTTTAACTGCTAGATGAAAGAATGTTTCAAACTATATTTAAAGCGTACTGTATAATTTTCTGTTTCTAAATATTTGTCATGTGACACCTCTTTATAAATAATTTTAAGAATTTTGAATACAGAGATGAAACCACCTTTAATTCAAAGCAGTTTGAGGTTAAGTCATTTTGACAAGGATTTGAAATATGAATGACCGTTTTTCTTTTGGTGGAAATCCAAGGAGAATGGTTTTCAAAAACAGCAACAGCAGCAACGAGAAAAGCACAAGCTAGACCTAGGATTTGAGTGCAATAAAAACAAAGGGTTCACAGCACTTAAATTGCTCAGCCTGGACCTTGTACTTTACTCTTTAGAGTCTTTCTCTTCTTTTTATAGCTTTACACAGGAAGTTGATAGTTCTTTCTCCTGTGGCTTTACAGTTTCTTCACTCTGAATCTCTGGCACCTTTTTCCACTGAAATACATTATTAATAAAAATAAATTATGCTTAGTAATAAATGAAGATCAATATTCTTCAGATCAAAGGAGAGGTATTAAACTTATATTATGTCATGAATATTAGTCAAGTGAAAAAAAGGGTCTCCCAACTGATGTTATTAGGAAAAAAACAGACTTCTTCAACAACTGCTCTACACATCTCGAACATTTGACAATAAAATGTCGCCCTTTCTATCTCCCGAGGGAGTTCACATCGGGAGTTCTCACAGTGGTGTATATTCCGCCACAGGTGAACTTCACAAGGGCACTGGATGAACACTGTCACCTTAACAGACATGAGAATACACATCCTGAAGGAGCATTCATCATAGCGGGTGATTTCAATGGTGCGAACTTGAAGAAAACAATGCCTAATCTACATTAACACATCGACAGCCCGACGCGAGGAACAAACATGTTGGACAATGTTTACACTCCCTTCCGGGATGGTTACAAAGCTCTCCCCCGACCTCCTTTCGGCAAATCCGATCACGCCTCCATTCTGCTACTGTACTTCCCATTTACACGCAGAAGTTTAACAGAAAAGGCCAGCATTAAGAGCCATTGGTCGGATTAATCGGATTTTACATTAAGTCACTGTTTTGCTACCACTGACTGGTTAATCTTCCACGAAACAGCCGGAAATAATATCAGTCTGTATACAGACTATGCTACTGCATTGAAAACGTGGTTCCCAGGATTACTGTTCGCATATATCCAAATCAGAAACCGTGGGTTTCTGAGAGAAACGGTGAGATTTGCACCAAATCTAAAGCTAGACCAGCTGCTTTCAATTCTGGCGATATGGATAGATACAATATGGATAATATGGATAGAATCCAGATACAACCCGGAAAAGACACAATCCACACAAGGCTCCTGGTCCTGATACTATCCCTGGCCGTATCAGGGCCTGGCCATGTTCTGAAGGCATGTGCAGACCAGCTGGTAGATGTCTTCTCGGACATAATCAATCTTTTTTTAGTTCAGTCTATAGTTCCTTCCTGCTTTAAGAAAACCACCATTGTCCCTGTTCCTAAGAAATAAAGAGCCAGTTGCCTGAATGACTACCGCTCTGTTGCACTCAAATCAGTTATCATATAGTGCTTCAAGCAGTTGGTCAAAGCATTCATCACCTCCTCACTGCCTGACACCCTAGACCCACTGCAATTTGTGTATTGCCAGAATAGATCAACAGAGGATGCTATTTGCCACTGCCCTCCATACTGCCCTCTCACACCTGGATAAGAAAGGAACATATATGAGAATGCTGTTTGTTGATTACAGCTCAGCATTCAAGACCATAGTGCCCTCAAAGCTTGTCATCAAGCTCCAAGACTTGGGACTGAACATCTCCCTTTGTAATTGGATCCTGGACTTCATGACAAAATGTCCACAGGTGGTGAGGGTGGGCACCAACATATCCTCTACCCTGACTCTAAACACTGGAGCCCCCCAAGGCTGTGTGCTTATTCCTTATTTACCCATGATTGTGTCACCAGGCATAACTCAAACACCATCATTAACTTTGCAGATGATACAACAGTCATCGGCCTGATCACAGATGGTGAAGAGTCTGCTTACAGGGAGGAGGTTGAAACCCTGGCAGCATGGTGCCAGGAGAACAACCTCTCTCTGAACATCAGTAAAACTAAGGAGATGATTGTGGATTATAGGAAACACCCAGGAGGAGATCACATACCTATTTATATCAATGGGACTGCAGTGGAGAGGGTCAGCAGTTTTAAGTTCTTGGGAGTTAACATCACAGAGGACCCACCACACCAACATCGTGGTCAAAACAGCACAGGAGTGCCTATTCTTTCTCTGTAGGCTTAAGAAGTTCGGCATCACATATCCAGGCCAGCTTCTACAGGTGCTCTATTGATAGTATCCTGACTGGTTGCATCACTGCCTGGTATGGGAACCGCCCGGGATCACAAAGTACTGCAGAGGGTAGTGAAGTCAGCGCAGCTTATTCCTGGCTGTGAGCTACGAAACACCCAGGATATCTACTCAGCTAGATGTCTTAAGAAGTCCAGGTCCATTCTCAAGAACCCCAGTCATCCCAGTTACAAACTGTTTTCTCTCCTACCATCTGGTAAATGGTACCAAAGCATCCGGTCAAAGTCCAACAGATTACGGAACACCTTCTACCTCCAGGCAATAAGACTGCTAAATAGCCAACCTGCAGCTCCTTCAGCAAATCACTACATGGACATAAAGCTTTCATTGTACTCGGCATACTGCACGACTTGGACATAATATATGGCATACACCCTGGACACATACGGTAGCAGCTCTATTTATATTAAGTTTTGTCTGAGTTTATTTGATTCAATTTTTATTGCCTTATTATCTATTACTACGTAACCTTAATTTTGTGATTTTTATCCCCCCCCGGTGAGCTTGTAGAAAAGACATTTCATTGTGTTGACCGGCCAGTACTGACCTTGTCACGGATGGTCTGTCGTACTTTCTCCCTCTCGGCTTCCATGCGAGCATGTTTGGCCTTCCTCTCCTCCTCCTGCTGCCTCAGGGCCTCCTGCCTCTCCTCCTCCTTCTTCTGGGCATCTGGGTCTTTCTCCTCTTCCCCACCCAACATCTTCCCCATGTCTTTAGTGGCCCCTGCACAGAACACAGAAACACAGGTGGCCTGATGTCCCCTTATCTAGCTCAGAGTCTTACAGTAGATGATGTGTACCATAACCCTTCCACGGTTCATCAGACGTATTCCATCTGTGCTCCAAACTCCATGTAGGGGGCTAAACCATTCATTTACTAATCGAGACAATATTATTTTTTCAGAAGAGTGTGATCATCTTTTAATTCCACGAGAAACTTAAAATACTGTATGATGATTTATGCTTGTAAATATTATTTTCTTGAATTAAGCAATTAGCTGTGCAGGAGTAATACATTTCGCATGAGTTTTACTATAAGAAGAACAGAATTAAAAATTGGCATGTAATGTAATCTACATGAAACCTCTATAAGACCATGATCGGATGCATGTTTTACTGGAAATAATTACTGGAATTTCTTCTCCTGCCCTCTCTGTGAAAGTGTCTTATTCCTCTTTCTTGAGCCAGCAGAGGCTTTCAATATAGCAGGCAATAATCTTTACCCTGAGATAATGCAAAAAGGAGGCATGAACTGTGAAAAGTGTTACAATATATTTGGGATACTATATTGTTGTTGCTCAAAACAGTTAGTAGTTGACAGTGGTCTGTTTTTGAAGATAAAACTGCTTATGACTCCAGTGTAACCCAATAATTTTGCTACTCAAGATTTCCTGCCAATATAATAAAGAAATACATAAATAAATATACAAATACACAGAAAATTCCTTTCTGGAATCAATATACATCTTCTCACATAGCATTCATGATACAGTATGTCTTTTTTCCTTTTGTCAGAGAGATCATGTGTACCCTTAAAAGCTTTTTATGTATGTGAAGAAAATCCAAAATGCATCAAAAATCCACAGAGATGTAATAGAGCCCTATTTCAAAGGATAGTCTTTCACAGAACTCATTCTATTCCACTACAGTTTCAAGAAAATGAAAAAAAAAACTGTTTAAATTAAGCTCGGTTAAGGCAGTGCTGGGGAAACAACTTACTATTTTTTCTTAGAATGTTGAATACAAAATGTATAAAATGTTTATAGCTCTGGAACATGTAAAGACTTTATGTGGGTGTAACAAAATGTGGTAAAGAATTTTTGAACCAGTAGAGTAACTATAATGAGCGCTATGGAGGGAATATGAGTTGGATTTAATACACATTCATACAAAATAACAGCAAATTAAATAGTACAGATCACTCTTATTAAAAAGAAAATAGCTCTGAGTACCTTTTGTGGGAGATATTTGTAAGCTACACTGCTAGATAAGTCTTGCTCTATTTCATCAAAAAGATTAATACAGAGAAAGTCACCAATAAAACTGGTTAGTATTAAATTTCATATGCACCTTAATATAACTGAAAACATCTGCATAACATAATAAAAGAGGAAACAGTAGGTAGAAAAATCTGTGTGGATAATGTTCTAAGTTTCTTTTTATCCCTGGTGTGATTTTAAGTGCTTCACATTCAAACAAGACCAAGTTCTCTGGCTTATAAAAGTAAAAATCATACTAGACAGCAGAATATGTCCTGCTTTTTCTCAATACTTATTCACACTTTGCACATGTGCAGCATGCATTCTACATTTTCAAGCCTGTATTGTAGACTCCAAGTCTTCATGGACAAAGCAATAAGCCCTTCAGACTCTTAATTTCTCCAGGGTAATGAGAGAAAAGTAAATGCTTTGATGAGGGACACGCCTTTGAAATTTTCATTAGAGATAGGGACTGCTGGAGCAGAGAAAAAAAGATGTGGCAGGGAGATGAGCAAAATGACATTGACTTCTTGAAACAGCTGGGTGGACTGCCTTGAGTCAGAGAGAAAATGACAGAAAGTTACAGTCAAGTAGTGAAGTTAGTGCCACTGGAATAAGCTTCACTGCATACAGTAAATACTTCTGCTGGTGCTATTCTAAGTTGCAAAAGGAAATCCACTTTCCAGATTCATCATTTTGATATATATTAAGAAAGGCAGCCAAGATAGGCTGCCCAAAACATCATTTTAAAGAAAGGTATTGTTAATGTTCACCTGTATTTGAAAGATATGACTATTTTGTATTTGTAATTATTTCTGAATTGCTTGACATTCCTTGACATCATGTCTGCTGATTGTTTTTCTTCATCCGTTGCATAAAAGCTTATAGATGACACTGATCGCAAATACCTGAGCTCATTTAACTCACACTTCAGTACTGAAGTCTCCCAACTTTGCTAGCTTTGTTACAGGACACATGCATACAAATACAGTATTCATTTAAACTGAATAAAGATGTTTTTTATAATGTTTAAAATCACTATATTTTAAGAATATCATTGGGCACCAAATAATTTTTCTAAGTTGGAATCTAGTAAAGCTAGTAAAGACAATGAATGCTAATTACAGTACCTTCTAGAAATTAAACACAGATATGAAAAACTTTGTTTATTGAATGATAAAAAAATCAAAATCCTGAAAAGGATAAAATACAAAGAACATGTTTTGCTTTGCAATCTGTTATTTGCTATGATTTGCTGTGTAATCTGTTATTTATCATATGCAATTTAAACCACACCTTTTATTTGTGGTAACAATTTGTTATTCTTCATAATTAGTTGTTAAATTAAGATAATTGATCTCAAAATTAGTAAGAACTATGTTTTGGTTTGTTTTTACTGGTGTTTATTTGTACCTCTGTGTCTACGAGTCATATTTCATCAAGGTCATATTTCTTGGCCTGTGCTTTGTATTTGGTTTAAAATTGCTGCTTTGTTTTTATTTTGGAGTAACTCTCAAACAAGAGGGCGACACAAGGATGACACATTCAGGATAACCCTGAATGCGGTTTTGACACATGGAGTCAATGACATTTTCAGAGGAGAGGAGGAGAAGCAGGATGTCAGGAAGTTTTTTGGAGGAATAAAGGGAAAGAGAGAAACCAGCGGGAAGAAACCAGTATTACAGGAACAGAGCACAGTTTTCCACTTGGAGCCATCTGCCCCACTGGCACTGTTACTAACTACCTCCACCTAGAGCTGAACCTTTGCTTTCCAGCTCTCAGCCTGACCTGTCAACAGCTTTGAATGTCTGCCACTGTTACGCATCTACTACAGATACAACAAATGTTTATAGATTAAATTACTTACTTACGTACTGCATTCAGGGTTGCGGAGGAACAATATTTTAAAGGAAGAACTATAGCCTTCGCTGTCTGTATATTCAGTATTAATGAAATGTAAGCAAGGCAATGAAAAGAAACAGCATGGAGTTAAATTGAGAAATAGCCATTATTTTCATTATATTTCTTCTCTGCTTTGACTCTCATTCCCATTGCTTTGACTCTCATACCAGAATGTGTGTGTATGGTGAGGACTGTGCATGCTCTCCTCCAAAATACACATTCAGAGCCTCTTGCCATTTTTCACGTTGCAATCCATGGGGCAAATGATACAGGTAATTGGAAGAGTGAAATAGTTCTGACTGAGAACACTGAAAGCTCACAGGTGCCTGACAAGTAATAGGGATTACTAGGGATTAATAGGGATGTTGCTAACCTGGGAGAGTCTGGTCAACTCCAGGCAAGGTAACATGCAGCTAATTGTGTCCCACACTTAGTGAATACTGGTCAGTCAGCACAGTTTCAGACCAACAATGCCAGGACCATGAGGTACAACCTTTGCTCTGCATGACAATATTCTCATTGGCAGATCTCCTCAGTCAGCTTTTTTCAATACTGTCCATGATATAAAATTTTGCACTCATCTAACACTGCACACCACTATTACTGATTTTACATTTTAGTGCTAATTAGATGTTTCATTTGTATCAATTCCTTTCTTTTACATAATGTAGAGTGGCATTACACAATAAAAACAGCTAATTAATATTAAGTGATTTACTGTGCTTCTCATGTATCAGACTGACTAACAAGGTCTTTCTTATGTGATCTATTAGAATAACACTGATGGAGAAATATTCAGATCTTTAAACACTAAAACTTTGTAAGACTCAATGTTGCCTAAATATTAAAAGGGAGAGACTAGGAGTAAATGTGTCATATAAAGTTATTACTGTAATATTGTTCTAGTGCTAGTGCCCTTATTTTCTAAACCTGAGGGATATGAAGGCATTATGCTCAAAAAGGTTAGGAATAGGGATTTGAAGGCATAATAACTTAAGGGATGGTAATTACACATTGTCAGAAATATTATGGATGTGTACCCAAGGGATTACAGATCACAGATTTTGCCCAAGGGGTTAATCATTATAAATGTACAAGTACCACAAGAACTTTAGATGGGTGGTAGACAGACAGTTTAGTTTGAGATGTATATCCTAAGGTTACAGATGTTATATCTACAGATTGACCTATGGGCTAGTGGTAATTTCTGTATGGAACTGGCAGGTTGTATACCCATGGGAATAGAGAATTATTACTGAGGTTTTACATACATAATTAGACATTGTCTCATCTGTAAACCTTCTCTCACATGTGGCATGTACAGAATAAGAACAACCATAAATCATGTCTGCTTGAAATTAAAGAAAATTGTGTACCTGAAGTTGGAGAGAAAATATTACCACAATAGTTTGCCTGAGGATTCTGAGATTACAATTTTGAAGGAAGTTTACATTTGTGCAAATGCATAAAAGATTGATATCTTGATATTGTTGACACTAAAGCTGTGGAGTTTAGAAAGAACTGTGGCATGTTAAATAGAAAAAAATTAAGAACTAGCGAGAGAATAAACATCCATTTTTAATTTTGATTTTATATATAATTCTCTAAAATATATTTTTTTCCTGTCTGTGGGGATTGATTTAGTAAGCATTAATTTGATTGAGGTAAATATCATTTTCAGTTAAAAAGAAAAAACAATAGTGCACTCTAAAAATGTATATCGACTTCAGCTGTAATCTGCAAAAACATAATTAAAAGGGATAATTAGATGATTAACACCCATTAGTACAATAGCTCCCATCTAGAGATTTCCAGATGAATAGCTAACAATTAGCACAACAAG